GATATTAATGATATTGTCCTATGATTTCCTAATTTTGTTGGGTCACCTCTCTTTGGAATGGACACAAAAATATATCTCTTCCAATCAGTTGGTCAGGTAGCTGTCTTCCAAATTTCTTGGCATGGATGAATGAGTGCCTCCAATACTTCATCAGTTTGTTGAAAGAGTTCAGTGTGAGTTACATCAATTCCCAGCGCTTTATCCTTTTGCCAATGCCTTCAGAGAACCTTGGAGCTCTTCCTTTCAGTACCATTGGCTCTTGATCATATACTATCACTTGAAATGAATGAACATCATCTATTTCTTTATGATACAGTGATTCTGTGTATTCCTTTCATCTTATTTTGATGATTTCTGCATTATTCAATATATTGCTCATGTTGTTATTGTTGTTATGAAGTGACATTCAAGTTGGTTCCAATTCACATCCACCAGGTACAGCATTTCCAAAGGGCAGCTGGTGAACTTTAACCGCCAACTGGGTGGTTCAAACCAGTTTTGCAGTCCAGTGCATTAACCCACAGCACCACACCAGGACTCTATGTTGCCCATAGAATCCTTCAATATTTCAAGTCGAGGCTTAACTTTTTTTTTTTTCAGTTCTTTCCGCTTGAGAAATGCTGAGTGTGTTCTTCCCTTTTGGTTTTCTAACTCCAGGTTTTTGCACATTTCATTATACTATTAGATCCTACTGTTATAGTTAAACTTCCTATTGTTATTGTTAAACGCCATAGAATTCGTTCCTACTCATAGTGACCCTGTATAGGGTTTCAGAGGAGCCGCTGGAGTGTTTGAAATTCTGACCTTATGGTTCACAGTCCAGTGCTTATCCAACAGCACCACACCAGGAGTCCCTGAGAAGGCAAAGCCGTCTCTAAAAGAATGAAGGGCTAGCCAGGGCCACCAGGGGGCAGAAGAGACAGCATTTGACACTTGCTCATTCTCTTGCCTTTTTCTTTCTGTGTTTAAGCCTCTCATTCAAAAAAAATTTCCCTCACAATTCTCGCTGCCACCCCCAAAAAGTACAGAGGGAGAAAAATGCAGACAATTCTCAATAGTTGGGGACAAACATATGTGTCATGTGGGGGTCCCCTTTTTGTGGGGCTTTTGAACTCTTGCTGCTTGTCAGTCCACAGTCTTATCTTCATTATGCCAGCAAACCTCATACAGGGGCAGACCAAGGAGAAGGCGGCTGGCTAATGCCTTCTTGGAGTGCACTGTAATATCTGACGGTCCTAATTAAACAAAGTATGACCGACCATGTGATAGGCAGAGAGAGGGCTGGAGGTGGTGGTTGCATATGCTACCGACTCATAGTGAACCTGTATAGGGTTTCCGAGGCTATAAATCTTTACAGAACAGAAAGCCTCATCCTTCTCCTGTGGAACAGCTAGTCGTTTTGAACTGCTGACCTTGCAGTTCACAGCCCAATTCGTAACCACTACACTACCAAAGCTCCTTGGCCTACACGACTCCCTTTTAATGAAAAGATTACACCCAGAAGTACATGACACTTGTGACCTCTGAAGCCAGGTCAGAAAAGGCACTGTGGCTACCTCTTGTTCCCTCTCTCAAATCACTTGGCTCTGGGGAAACCAGCCACCATGTTGTGAGGATATTCAAATAGCACTGTGAAGAGGTCCACATGGTGAGGAACTGAGACCTCCCACCAACCTTAAAAGTGGAACCTCCAACCCCCGTCAAGCAGTCAGACAAAGCAGCCTGGGCCTAGGTGTTAACGCAAGTTCACCCAGGTGAGCCAGATTACCTGACTTCCAGAATTAAGACAATGTCTGTTGTTTTAAGCTGCTAAATTTTGGTAAATTGAGAGGAACAGCAATAGCTAACATGGATATTCCCACATAACAGTCATGGTTCTAAGTAATCTCAAAAAAAAAAAAAAATTCTAGCTAGCTACAACATTCCTGCATAAGCGCTTGAGGACAAATAGTTAAGTACGGACAGCTAACCAAAAGACGGGTGGTTCAAATCCACCTGAAAGTTCTTCAGGAGAAAGACCTGCCAAACTGTTTCTGTAAAGATTGTTGATGTTGTTGTTAAGTGCTGTCGAGTTGTTTCCAACCCATAGCAACCCTGTATAGGGTTTCTACAGACCAGCTGGTAAGCTTGAACCACCAACCTTGTGGCTCAAACAACTTTGCAGTCCAGCGCATTTAGCCCACAGCGCCACACCAGGACTCCTCTGCAAAGATTATAACTGAGAAAATCCTATGGGGCTGGAATCCACTCTGGCACATGGGGTCACCATGAGTGGGATTCAACAACAAAACACTTCAGCAGGGTAGAGATGGAAGAGAAGGCAATGGCAGTGAGTTCACCCCACCCCAGGTCATACTCTCCTGCCCTCACCCTGCTTTATACTTCTTCATGGTCCCTCTCGCCTCCTAAATTACAGTAACAGCCACTGACAACACTACAGAGCACAGTTCAGCTCTGACATACAAGGGTCCTCACGAGTCAAGTCGACTCAAGAGCCGCTGGCTTCTTGTTAACCTCTGGAGCTATCAGATGAGAAATCTGTGGTCCGATAAGGCATCTGACAGCACCCTGAGGGAAGGAAGTGAGCCCCCGCTCCACGCTGAAGTGAATAAGCCGGAAGTTACAGAGAAGGTGGTGGCAGGGTGTCTGGAACACATCCCTCTCCCTGCTGTAGACCTTCCATTTAGGTGCCTCCACTCTCAGCGCCTCCAGTGTAGAAATGCAATGACTACTAGAAGCAGTGTCTTTTTAATTAAGTTCCACAGAACCATCCTCCGGTCCCAGAGGACTACAACGCCATGGGAGTTTTACCTTGCTTATTAACTGAAATCAGCCTTCTTGTCAGTTGAACAAATGGACTCTTTTCAAGGTGCCAAGTTCCTTCCTCAAAACACCGAAAAGTCAGACTCACTGCCGACGAGTCAATCTGACTCACAGTGACCCTGTACAGGGTTTCCAAGGCTGTAAATCTTTACAGGACCAGAAGAGCTCATCTTTCTCCCACAGAGTAGCTGGTGGGTTTTGAACTACAGGCCTTGAGGTTAGCAGTCCAGTGCTTATCCAACATGTTCCTATGGCCACTGGTAGAGTTTGCAAATCTATTTGCCAGACAGTCTGACCACTATGTCAAACAGATGGTGTCCTACAAAATTATGAGACCGTATATACACACACACGTGGGAGAAAGATGAGGCTTTCTGCTCCTGCTGTTGTTGTTGTTGTTGTTAAGTGCCATCGAGTCGGTTCCGACCTCAGAAACCCTATGTTGTTGTTGTTAAGTGCCATCGAGTCAGTCCAACTCATAGAGACCCTGTACAGGGTTTCCGAGGCTATATATCTTTACGGGAGCAGAACGCCTCCTTTCTCCCGTGGAACAGCTGGTAGTTTCAAACTGCTGATCTTGCGGTTCGCAGCCTTATTCGTAACCACTATGCTACCAGAGCTCCTTATGTATATGTATATGATATGTGTACGTGTACATGTATTGTCTAAGTGTACGTGTATATATTATATATGTATACGAATATGTATATGTACATGTGTATGTATATGAATATGTATATGTACGTGTACATGTATATATAGACTGCCACATCTTTCCTCCATGCAGTGGCTTGGTAGGTTCAAACCACTGGCCTTAACTGAGTGCTTAATGATTGTGCCACCAGGACTCCTCCCAATAAGGTATGGAAGTGTAAATAACACTGAAAGAACCCCGAGGGTGTAGAGCTCCTTCCCTCGGCTTTCCCAGAGCCTCTGTCATTTGAAGCCCAAGTCCAATGTCCCCTGCAGGAAAACTCCTTAAAGCCACTAACCAAAAAGGAATCCTCTCCTCCCCTTCCCGGTGAATCTATCTCCCTGTGCTCACCCAGCACATTTTCAGGGGGGCTTTTAATCTTGCTTATCTTTTGACTTTACATCCCAAGGACTCTGAAAATGTTGTTGGTGAACCTAACTCAGAATGGAACACTCTTCTCTACCTTCCCCTCTTCCCGCCTTGGGCCCAATGGAAGAGCAGTGTAGACCATCAGCTAGGAGGGAGGATACAGTTCTAAGAAACAATGAAAGTTAGAGAGACAGAGCTTGAGAGTAAACCCAGGCCAGCCCAGGGTCCAGCACACTGGGCTCCCTTACACACCTGGTGCAGCCGTCCTCCTGCAGTGCACATGACACCGGGCTAAGAGAAGGACAAATCCAATGCCATACATTCACAGGGCAGCCTGGCAACTACTGGGTCCTGGGCCAGCCAGGCAAACTCTCCGAGGAAATGCAGAGCAGTGTCTTACCTGGAGCAGGCCATGTTCTCCTGCCCTTTCTCAAGGCAGGTACACTGAGGGTAAGGCTGCACAGGTGACTCCCTTCTCCCAGGGGTCCCTGAACATGGAGGGTCCAGGAGGAAGGCTGTCCATGTGAAAACACTTGGTCTTCAGATGAGCAGATGTCAGTCTCTGCAGTTGGACTGTGGTCCTTCTTAGTCCAACGTCAGCATTCCACTCAGTGTTACCCCTCATAGGGGACATCAAAGGATGTGACCCCTAGGTTTTATCCAGTTAAGGTTCTTCCAGGTCAGCATCCCCGGTTTTAAGCACCCAAGGACAAAACAAAACAAAACAAAACCCAGGCCTGTCTCATCCCTTGAAACAATGTCCATCATAACCAACTGCCCTGAAAACACCAGGTGCTGGGGTGCTGCCACTTGAAGGGACTAGACCAATGCTTGAAACCCTCACAGACATCCATGTCTAGATGCACACCTACCATCCTTCCTCCTCCTACCTGGCTAGTATCTCACAGGACGGCTGTCAGGAAGGCCAAACAAACATCAGGGAGCAAGATGCTCCCCACACACCAAGGCCACCCAACCCGGTGCTCCAGCATCGCTCCCACACACCTCGAACACAGGCTGTCTGCTTAAAGGGGCAACAGCCCAAAGCCATGTCAAAACCCACTTGGATGGCTGGACCCTTCCTCCCAGCTCCTAGCCCACCGTAGTGCCTTACTTCTTCACTTTCGGGTACTTCATCTCGGCAATGGCATTGGTGGCCTCTGTCTGCTTCTCTTTCAAGTGTTGGGGCCACATGTTGTCCACCCAGTCCACCAGGTCGATCTGAAAGCCACACGATCGTCAGCACTCTGCCTACTGTAGCCCCAGCCAGAAGCAAAGACCCACTTTTACCCTTCCTCCAATCTCCGCCAGCACTGAAACCAGAACCCTGCTACTGACATGCCCCATCAGCGCCTCCCCCAGGAGCCAGCCAGGGGCAAGGAGCAGAGGCTGGAGGTGACCAGGGGCCTACCACGGTCGGACGCTTGACCAGGTGCTCCAGCTTGGTATGGCTGAACTCGAGACTGATGACGTTGTACAGTTTGTCCCGCTGCGCCTCTGGTGTCTCGTAGTAACGCACAAACTGAGACATGCTCATCTCTGTGCCCTTCTGGGTGTTGACGTCCATCACATCCACCAGCCGCCGGCTCCCTGCAGGATGAATTCACTTGCTAGGGGTTGCTGTCCATGGAGGGCTTCAAAGCTGATGTGGGAGCATCCCCACAAAACCTGCACCTTCTCCAGAGTTCCCCATACTCCTCACCCTATAACATGCCTGTGCAATGACCTCAGCCTGGTGTCTTACCTTACTGAACAGCTCCCCAGGCCATCTGCTTTCTCCAATTCCCCATCCCCATTCTTTCCAATCTACTCAGTTGACCATTAGTGCTAGCCAGCAGTTCATACCCGGCAGCTACTCCATAGGGCTCCCATAAAGATAAACCAAAATCAAATCCACTGCCTTTGAGTCTATTCCCACTAATTGGGACTCTGCTGGACAGAGCACTACTGCCACCCAGGATTTCCAAGGCTGTAATCTTTACAAAAGCAGAATGCCTCTTTGTTGGTTACCGTGGGGGTGGGGTGGGGTGGGGGTTAGGGAAGGTAGAGGGAGGTGATGGTACAGCACAGGGTGGGGCAGATACATCATAGTTCGGGTGTTGGGGAGGGCAATACACAAGAAGGGGGAGGGGGTGGAAGACCAAGGTAGATAGGGGAACACTGTGACAGATTTGCATGGGCTGAATGGGACAAAGGTAAATGGTGATGTATGCTCAACCTTGGAACAAAAGGGCTCTGTGATACAGGGATCTAGGCATAATCTGAAGAGGCGAAAAAATGTTAAGATGTTTGACTGTCTTATGAATATTGGTTTCCCTTGCCTATTATTGTAAAATAGACACTTGAGTGAGATAGAAAGGAATGTTGGGAAACATGATTACAGAAAGCTTGTAAGCCCATCTTCAGCCTGAAACTGATTGGAATACCTAAAAGGGGTTCTAGAACTTGCCCAGTGAAATAGGCCTCTTGCAAAGTCTTTGCAGTGTATAGGACCTTAGGTGGAATCCTGAGTCCCAATCCAGAACCTTCTGAGGTGGGACATTCCCACTAGAAAGGACAAGCAGACCAGCCTGGAACAGCTACAGTGACAGAAGATACATCTTCAAAGAAAGATAAACAGGAAAAACCTAAAACAAAAATGGCAGTATGATTGGCTACTACAAAAATAAGCAAGTTATTCACAGGGAAGCCATCAAGGCAAGCAATCAAGTTCCTTCAGGATAAAACTCCCTCCAAGACTGAAACTCAAAGGAAACACATGAGCAGTTTGCTGGCGACCACATTGGTCTATTGGTGAGTGGAAGAGGGGGAAAGGGAGCAATGAAGAAACGGGCTGAATTCAACCACGTTCCATACACTCCTGTATACCTGGAGATGAGAGAGAGAAAAGGAAGGGCTAGTTGGTTCAAAGTGTGGTGAGACCTGGGGACACCTGAGCCTGTGGACAAGGACATAGCCACGGAGGGCTAGAGCTGAGAGTGAAGCATCCAGCTGATATGAAGTGAAGGGAGACACACAAGAACACCCTAACTCGCAGATAGTCCCTATTTGACCTCACCTCTATGGCTTGATAATCAAAACTCGACGAGAGGAAGATTAAACAAAAATTTTTTTGATAAAGGAAATGAGGATAATTGCAGCAGTTTGATGACCTTGACCTATACTCATGAATGTAGTAGCTCAAAACACCAACAGAGAGGGAAGGAGTCTTCACATCAAGTATCAATGCTATCCCCTCCATAAACAGGTTAGATAGGGAAAGGCAACTTAGGCACTGGTTACCTAAAATGAGGGAGCAATAAAGGCATGAAGTGACTGGCTTACAAGTTTTCAAGAGGGAGTTTAGTATAAGAGTGTGCAGGGGAAGATAAAGTCCCCACTGAATAGCTTTCATCTTATATAGACGGGTCTGGTGAAAGGAGATGGGGATAAGATTCTTATAATTTAATAGTGAGTAACTGTTATCATGACTAATTGCAACTGTCACAACTGTAAATGTAGACATTTTATAACAAAAACAAGGGAGCAGTTAATCTTACAGTCCAGAAACAGAGGACCCTAGGACCATCAATGGAGAAGAGTACAAGCAGAATGCGGGACCTTATCCAGAGAGTCAGCAGCACCAGAGATGGAGGTAGAGATGAGGACAAGGAGAGAGGGAGCAGCTGAGGACTCTAGACTCATGGAAAGAGAGGGACTGAGTGTTAGTGGCCAGGAGTCAGGCTTGCAGAATGTGCCCTTTGGTGGTTTAAATTATTATATATTTCTGAATGCTTTTGTGTACATCTCCCCACCCCCGAAAAAAAAGAAAAACAGAGGAAATGGAAGCAAATACTGTTGAATGATGATGTACGGAGGAGATTGTAATCATTACAATGAAATGATGGTGTGAAGCCGATGTTCTCCCATGTAAACTATCACTGAATTCACAATTAAAAAAAAAAAAGCAGAATACCACATCTTTCTTTCATGAAGTGGGTTCAAACTATAGACTTTTGAGTAGCAGACAAGTGCTTTAGCTACTACACCCACCAAGGCTCTTCTGCAAAGATTATAGTCTGGAAAGTCCTATGAAGCAGTTCTACTTTGTCACATGAGGTCACTATGAGTTAGAATGCATGGTGCACAACAACCAAAAGTGACCGCAAGAGCTTCCCTAGGAGTCTCCAAATTGCACCCTTCAGTCCATCCTCCTCACTGCAGGCGGGGTAAGCATTCCAAAACAGAGACTCTAAAACATGAACTCTCTGTTTAAGACCTTCCATGGCTCCCCACTGCCAACTGAACAATCCGTTAGCATGGCACTTGATGCATTTCTGTTTACTCAGAATACTAGAATAAATAGTACTTAACTCTGTAGCAACTTTGTTTAGAAGTCTCCTTCTCTAGTTTGTGAATCCCAAAAATTACTTGACCTCTAGATTATAAATTCTGCATAGCCAAGCACCCAACATAAATTATCTCATTTTTAGTTAATCACGGTAACAACTCTGCAGAGGTAGAACCTCAATTATACCCATTTGATGGATGAGGAACTGAGGCTTGGATATTTAATTTGGTCCTTATAATGCCCAGATTATAAACACTCAGTGTTCTAGTTGGGATTTGAACCAACTGCAAACGAACAGGTCGTCAGTTCAAACCCATCAGATGCTCCTCGAACCCTATATAGAGTTGCTAGGAGTTGGAACCGACTGGATGGCACTTAACAACGATGATAACAACAACAATCTTATGTCAGAACCCAGGTTTTCATGCCTCCTGCATTACTAAACTTGATCCTATGCTTAGGTTGAGGAATGGCCCCAGGCTCTGGTGGATGGCTTTGTGCTCCAGGGATGCTGGGGTGAGCTGAAACCTGGTTTCCATGAGTACTATGAATCCACCAGGGGGCAGACCTGGGCTTTGTTAGCCATTCTGTCCAGGATCTCAGTAGGACTGGCTATGAACTGCCTGGTTAGAGTCAGGGCAAGTGAAAAGATAATGGTCCCCACTCCCCATTATCTGGCCCTAAATACCTTCACCTCTCCTCCCAAAGGGACTCTGCTCAGGGTTCTTTCTGTCCACTTCTACCCCTGAGAGAAATGGTGTTTGCTCTGTAAGATAAAGGAAGAAATTACCCATTGGTGTCAAGTTGATTCTGACTCATGGGGACCCCCATGTATTGCCAAGTAGAACTGCCCCATAGGGTTTCCAAGGAAGCATTCCTGGTGAAAATATTCACTGTACCATGAGCAGCTAGAAGAAGGAACAAATCTGTGTTGGAAGAAGTACAGCCAGGGACTGCTCCTTTGAAGAGAGGATGAATGAGAAGACTTCATCTCATGAACTTTGAACATGTTATCAGAAGGGACCAGTCCCTGGAGAAGGACATCATCCTTGGTACCCAGTCAAATACAGGGTAGGTGGGGAAGCGCAGGAAGGAGGTCCAGGGTGAGGGAATGGAGGGTTGGGGCATCACCCCACTCGCCAGTGTCCTGGAAACTGAAGTCTGTGGGAGATGAATGAGGAGGGAAGTGATCCGGGAAACACAAATGCTCCGGTCACCGCATCGTTCATCACTGCTCAGTCAGGCCCCCAGCTGCAGTGAGAACGCAGAAATGATGGCATGATTCCTAGGGATCAGAGAGACAGTAGCAGAAGTGACCCTTAGCTTTGAGTCAGGCATCTGGGGAAAGGCCAGCTCTGACCTCAAGCAGATGCGGAAACGTTCTCCTCCACAGACCTACTGCTATCCAGCCAATTCTGATTCGCAGTGACCCTGGAGGACAGAGGAGAAATGCCCCATGGGGTTTCCATGAGCTATAAATCTATCCAGAAGCAGGACTGTCACATCCTACTGAGCGGCTATTCAGCAGCGGAAGCTTAATTACTGTGCCACTAAGTCTCCTTTTTTAACTCTATAGATGACAAGGAGCACTGGTGGTGTAGTGGGGTATGTGCTGGGCTGCTAACCATAAGGTCGGTGGTTTGAAACCACCAGCCGCTCCATATGAGAAACGGAAGCTTTATGTTCCCGTAAAAATGTACAACCTTGCAAAGCCTACATAAGGTCTCGATGAGCCGGGATTGACTCGGTGGCAATGGGTGTTTGTTGTTGTTGTTAAGTGCCATCGACTGGTTCTGACTCAGAGCAACCCTGTAAAGGGTTTTCAAGGAGCGGCTGGTGGGTTTGAACCACTGACCTTGTGATTAGTAGTCCAGCACTTATTCTATAAGCCACACCAGGACTCCTGGCAGTGGGTATAGATGACAACTAATGACAAAGACATAATGGAACTAGACATCATTCCTGTTTTGCAACCCTGATGTGGCACTGTTCACCAGCTGCTCCTCGGAAACCCTATCTATACAAAACTGCTATGAGTCAGAACTGATTTGGTGGCACTTAATTACAACAACAATGTGGTACTGTAAGAGAAACACTGGACTGCTCTGCTAACCATAAGGTCAGCGGTTCAAACCTACCAGTCCGTCCTCAGAAACCCTATACAGGGTCACTATGAATAGGAACTGACTAGGTGGCACTTAACAATGAACTAATTGAAAATGCTGGTGGCTCTATAGGATAAGCACAGGACTGGTAACCA